AAATATTGAAGCAAAATTAGCGGACTACGAGGTGCAAAATGAAGAGGTTTAATGTGTTATGGTGTCAGTGATGAATTTCCCGGATCAAAATGATCACAACAAGGACATGCCAACCATTAGTCGGGAAACACGTACGATTCGGAAAAACGCACCCAGTGCATTATCAAAAGGGCCATGCAGCAGCACTATGAACAGAATTAATGTGCAGGGTTTTTAACTGCCTGGCATCTACGTCAATCGAACAGTGACAGTTCAACAACATGCCAAGATTAACAGAAATGCAAAGAAACAATGTCATAGGCCTCTTGCAGGCAGGGGAATCCCGATCAGCTGTAGCCTGGGTTTTCATGCAGCGCCCAGCACCATCACTGGGCTATGGGGCCGGTTTCAACAGCATGGGTCAACACGTGATCGGCCAAGGTCGGGACGACCAAGATCGCTATATCCGACTGCTCAACCTGTGTGAAAGGACGACTACAGCCACCTCAACCGCATCCAAAATATCCGGACTGCGCAGAATCTCCGACCAGACCGTACGAAACCGTTTAACGGCAGCAGGTCTACGAGCAAGACGTCCTTTTCGACGCATCATATTGAGTCGACAACATCGTCAACAACGACTGCATTGGTGTCGTCAACACAGTGTATGGCCTCAACTGGAGAGATGTCTGGTTCAGCGACAAATCAAGATTTCTCCTCCGTCGAGGGGATGGAAGATCACGGGTCTACAGACGTCGGGGAGAACGTTACGCCGGAAACTGCGTACAGGAAGTTGACAGGTTTGGTGGCGGTAGCGTAATGATGTGGGCGGATATCTTTCATCATGGCAGGACAGGTTTGGTCCATATCCAGGGCAGTCTTACGGCTCAACGATACATCAACGAAATTCTCCTACCACACATCCTCCCAATTGCAGCCAACGGCAACGGTGTATTCCATCAGGACAACGCTCGACCGCATACAGCACGGTTCACAAGAGCCTGTCTACACAACAACAACGTTGATGTTCTTCCCTGGCCCTCCAGATGCCCTGATTTGAACCCAATAGAGCAATTGTGGGATGAATTGCATAGACGTTTATGCCGACGTCAACCACAACCCCAGACGTTGCAGCAGTTAGCAGTTACTTTGCAGGCCGAGTGGGCTAACATTCCCCAGGATGTTATTCACGTACTCGTCTTTTCCTTGGGCAGGAGATGTCAGGCCGCTATCGATTCCAACGGGGACATACGCTTATTGATAGTAGCTGACCTTCACCTTGGACTTTTCCTATGTACCGATAACTGAGATCACTACAATCCAAAGTGTTCTTTCCACAACATTTTGGCTCAATACCTTGTACGGTCCTCATATAAATGTATTTTCCTACCTCACACAAATCTGGCTTTACGGTGGGTTTTTAAGAGTAATTATATGTCTGACCGTAGCCGGCCTTTGTGCAAAGTGTGTTTTGCGCAGTTTTATCTTTCACAACTCAACTATTTTGTGCGTATAACGATGGCAGGTTCGAACCACTGATCGAGACTACATTACACACAGAAATAGATGTTAAGCATATATGCTTGCCTGTATAAAAATGACGTCAAACTCACAATCATGTCATCACCAGCTGCACTAATGGCAAGTTAAATCAGTCTCATAATTACCTCTAGAGGCTGTGTACTTACCATCGGAAGATACTTTAAACGCATTAAAGAATCGATGTAAATGAACATCAAATGTGTGGGCGCTATTTTCACGTAACATTTTTTAGTAATATGTTTTATTTTGACATTCAAACAAAAATCGAATGAAGATTGCTTCTAAAATAAATTTTCATCAGTATGAGCAAACTAGTGGCACTTGTTGATATTGATTAGGGTGCTATAAATTTCCAGTGTTAATTAAAACTTTGCTCGACGTCCCTGTTAACCCCTTAATCTGTTAAGCTTTGGCTGCTGAGGCAAGGTTATTTATCAGGGCGTGGCATGTTATTTCCACTCCATAGAAAGTCTAACATCGTACCCTAAAAGAACTAATTTACATTCTGTTCACTAATGGTTTACAAATGTGAATGTGCAATTCTATTACATAATGACAGCGACATGCAAAAAAAAATATGTTTGAATTTTGAAGATGTATTTGTCATGGTTAAACCTGGAATTGTCTGTCTGTTACTGTAGCTATGTAATAACTAAAGTAATGACGCATTTCGCATGAAACGATGGTGATCCAATTTACACCAGAAAGCGTTGATGCAAAATGGATGACGCTCTGAACAACAACTAGATACGCCTGGACATTTGATAGCTTCCGCCGTCCATACCGCATGCTGATGTGTCGTCCATCATCTGATTGGCTTCACTGCACAATTACCATACTTTGTGATAACTTCTGGTTTGTGTCGCGTCTGACGAGCGTTTGGCTTTGTATTTCATTGTGCACATGTATCAACAGTCGCACTCATGTAATAGACAATTTTAACTTGTCATTCCTTGTTCCTTTCATGTTTGGTGTGGGAAGGAAGATAATTGTGAAAAGAAAAAGTAGAAGAAGAATAGGAAGAACTGTAATCTTTGGTTGAAGACATCGACAAGAAATCAAGTTTACACATGGAATAAATTTTCTGCATTTAAAGTAAGAACACAGAACAACATATGCTGTCAATATCGATATTTGACAGTCCTGTAATCCAATTATCAAGTTTAGGGGCGTTGGGCTATTTAGTTAGTGCTTAAGCATTCGCTCGTCAAGCCGTGGACCGGGCTTCGATTCTTCACATGGGCACAATGTGTGAAGCCCATATCTGACGTCCCCAGTCGTGATATTGCTAGAATATTGCGGCGTAAAACCATACTCTCTCACTTACTTAAAGCAGTGTATCCACGATAACCTAAATGATATTACACTTTAATGTGGAATTTTGTACACTCGTGTATTGCAGCTTTTTATCTTCACAACAGTGGAAAGATTTCGTTAGTTAAATCCATTATTCATTATAAACCCGCCTTGGAGGGTAATACATTTCCTAGCAGGGGAATACATATTTCATACACCACCACGAGTACTACAGGCTGCGAGTGCATTTCTGAGAGACAGAATAAATTCTTAATACCCCGTTTTAAAGCAAAAAGCCACACGAACCAGACTTGCTCTAAAATTGTGTATGATAGTAGATGTAACACCAGGACGGAGTACAGTTCGTCATTCTACAGCCTCGTCGCTATGTGGCAGTAGTAATGCCGATGCGACGTTAAATGTTAACTCACTCACCTACTACAGTATGTCGTGATACTGTCCAGTGACTGTACCGCTCCTTGCTTTATTTCCGACACCGCTCGGCAAAGTCTGGTGGTCGCTGTACAGTGACATTGCATTCTGTTAGAGAAATAGTGACCCGACTATTTCCTTCTCTTGTGATTTAATGGCATATTCATACCATGTATTGGCTTGATGTATCTTTACTCTTATGTTTGCTACCTTATTCATGTGTTGAAAATGTTTTGTGATTTTCAAACAAAAGGGGAATTTATATGTACACTCGGATATTTCTCATATATTTATGGTCATTTGTGTCTCAGTTGTACATTACTTGTTGTAAACCTTTAATGATACTGTTGGGTAGCTTATGTTCGGCGCTATATTTTCATACTTACATCTTCCGTATGGATATAGTAGTTAGTTTGCTATTCGTCTTTCCCCCATGTTTAGGAACACACATTGGCCCCAGACTGTTGTATTCCCCGACTGTCCAGGAGAGATTACCCCTCTCTAATGTCCGCGCGCTGTATCTATATTCTGGTTTTGTGAAATTTGATACCAAGATAAACAAAGTCTACCTGTTTAATTGGCTATTGCCCTTCTTGAAGGGTGGTTTCTTCTTAACATTTCCACTACCAAGTATGTACATAAGAGATGTGAGTTTCTAATATATCCACTAAACTACACACTATTAGTTGTATGTGTACAAGTTGACATCTTGAACGGAGAGGGACACAACAGCGTACGTGCTACAAAGTATACGTGGTTGTTGACTGAAAAGATGCGCTACTCAGCTGATGTGAAACAGTTAATATTTAAGGTGTATGATTTCTTTCAGTAAGAATTTACGTCGATAATAAGGCGAAACAGGGTTTTTAGAAAAATCAAGTCAGACGTGCAATTCGGAAAAAAAGTACTTGTCACTAAGACTCTTGAAGAAATACCTTGAAACTGAACGATTTAATTGTTACAAGATATGGCACTTGTGCGGTTATTTGGATACAAAAGATAAGTGGTGAAAAAAGGGCTATGTTATGGGAACGATCCGACAATCTTCATCTCCGAAATGATTATCTTCGAACCATCAAGCAGAAACGTGAAGGAACCTGTTTCCTAGATGAGACGTGGGTACATGCCTCACACAGTCAGTGGGTACATAGTGGTGACTATAAGTCTGGGAGAAAGTTCTCCATGCTGGGTTTTAGGCGTTTTCTCCCATGCTGTGACCTTGTCTTTCAGGCCAAGGACAATAGGGACTACCACACAGAAATGAACGCCAGGGTATTTCTGTAGAGGGTGAAAATAAATTGGTCCCTGCCTGCCAAGTCCCTTATAGTCAATGCACCATATCACAGTAAGCAGGATCCAGACAGCAAGGCCCTGACTTCTGATAACCTTAAAGGCGATATGGTGACGTGGACATCTTGATCGGCTGAGGCAACCACTTGTACACATCAAGACAACCTTTTCCAGTGTTGGGGAATATACATAACAGCAGATATTGTTGGGAACAGGGTATTCATTGCAGTACTGCATTCAATAGACTATTCCTTGTTTTGAAATTCACCGTTGAATTAAACGTGTTTTTTCCTTTTAGGGTTCTGTCATACATTTTTCTGCTAGTGCGTAGCGTGAGACATGCAGTTCGTTCAACACGTGTTTGTACTTTTCATTGTCACGGCAACGTTCACTGCAAGTCCTACGCTAAAAGACACGTATGAAATATAAATATACTAAGGATGGGATAACGTAACGCTAAATCAAAATTTAAGATTAATTTACTGTTCCAAATTAAAAATTAAATACAAAAACAAGACATCATCTTCTCCGAAATAATTGAAGTTGAAACAACATTTAACTATGCCGAAATAACATAGCTGCTGTATTTATTCAGCACTTCGGAGGATCAGCTTTCGCCAGCTGCTTGTTCATTTGAAGATGGATAAGACCTGAAATAGAAACGAACACCAGTCGAGGACATCTTATTACCAATTATTGTTCTGCAGTTTTGTGACAGTCCCACATGTATCGTATAACATTATGTTCATGCCAGTCTCTCGAATATTGGAGGTATCTATATCGTGAGTGTGCCTACCTGCTAAGGCTGTCTGGAAGCCGGAGTTGTAGTCGCATGCAACCTCGTTCTTAACGTAGTCCTTCCTGTCGTCAAGGTACACATCGGTATTGTCTGGGCCGCCAACCAGTGCACCCTTCAACAGGTGGGGGTTTGGACCAGGGTTGTCAAAAGCTTCCCAACCACAGGGTTTGGGGATGTCTGGGCAGGAACTGCGAGATATGCAGTAATGTTCCATCAGGACATTTGATATTTTAATTACTTTATTCTCGGACTGTTTCTATGTGGCTTGTGAAAACCGAGAACGATTAGGTGCATGGGCACGTCGGCTCTACACACTTCTTTCATATACTTTTAAGTGGTAAACTATATAAACGTCTAGCTAGCATCACCGTGAAAACGGACAACATAGACAAACTTGGTGCAAGTGAATTTTAGCAAGATTACAGATATGTCGGCGGAGGACAAAAAATGGCTTCCCCAGACAAAACCCCAGCCTCCCCTCCCCCTCAAGAGTATCAAATGATCGGTCCCCTATGGGGAACGAAACGAGGTCTTCGATGTGACATGAGAATGCTAAAACCACAAGGCTAGCCTGATACCTATACATTCCGAGACTCACATCACAAGGTTACTCAAATGTCCCAAATCATACTTAGACTTTGTCGTTTAACTGACAATGTGAGGATGCATACAGAAACGATCCCCACAAGTTCAGAGTAATGTGCACTACTAAAAGAAATTAAAGAGCATCCATATGTATCCCGGTATGGCACGCCAGTATAACTTCTTTTGAGTGGTATGTAATTGAACATCAAGGGAAACGTGGAATATCAAGTTTCTCAGTGCCATTGGTGTATAGTCAACTTACTATATAGCAAAACCTCACTGGCGGTTACCTGGTTCTATGGTGAGGCTTGACAGGGTACTTGTTTCCGTATCCGATGACGTAGCTCATGTGGTATTTGTTGTCGCCAAGAATGTAATTGATCTGGTCGATAGCCCACTTCCTATACTTCTCCGTCTGGAGGCCATCTTCAGCCGCCATCAGGGCAACCATGGCCGTGTTGGCTGTAACAGAAGGGTAGTGAATGGTTCTCCCTAATAACTGTCCACACACCTTTTCACGGATCACAAGCAATTTCTCGGCTCATCATGGATCAAGGATAATTATCGTGTAAATTAGTTCATATTGTCATACTCCCCGTTTCCGATATAACAAACGGGGTAACGAATAATAACGATTCACAGGTAAACGACATTCATAGAAACCGTGTAATTTATTTGCAAATCCACCAGCATGTAACAGGGCCTTTGCGACATAACGTTTCACATCAAATTCTTAACGTGAAATATCCAGTCACGGCAAATTAAAAACCAAAAACGTGTAACGAAATTGGTATTCCTTATCCGCTTACGGCAGCACAAGCGCATTTACATATTCAGAAATAATATAATATCTCCTTGTTATTCTACCATTTGCACACATATGTGCACCAAAGGTAACAGCACGGTAGTGAGAAAAATAGACTTTCATATTGATATTGACAATTTGATCATTGATATTTGATCGATTTTGTGTTTTCATTCACAGATTTCACAATGTAGTTCTGTGCCAACCGATTCCTGGGTTAACCTCTGTGTTTCAATTTGGCAATCACCTCGTAACAAAAACTGGGACTTCGTCCGGGAAATGAATTAAATTTGCAGAAATAACCAGAATTTGTCAGTGCTAAATGTGCCAGTGTTAATTCAACCCCCGATGCTTTACACATGATTATTGTGAAATCAGTGTCTGTCATATGGAGTTTAATCCTTCAATGTGAAAAAGTGAAATTAGAACCTTTAGGAATATTTGGTTGAGAAGGACATTTTGAGTGATTCAGGTTTGGTTTTGCTGAAATATTTGAAATAAAAAGCTGGAGATGGAATTTCTAAGAGAGCTAAAATTGATAGAATTGGAAATTCAAAAAGAAAGAGGAGAAACAAAACGGTTGCAAAACAGAAATAATTCCCCTCATATTTTTCAAAATTTCTTTGATGTGCCTAAAAATGTCAAAATTTCAAGAAGAAGAAGTAGACAACTTTTGAAAAGATGGCAACAAATTTGAAATGTCCAAAAGACCATTGGATAATGTTATGGCAAAATGGGGGGAAAAGGCAAAGCTAAAGAAGTCTTATCAGTTCTATCAGTTGATGTTAGTTCAAGATTATGAAGGCGTATGATTTGGTCAATGATGCACAGAAGAAAAAGGAAAGGCAGTCGAAGAAAATGAATGATTAACACAAATGTGGAATTTGATGGGTGAAAAAGATTTTGTTTGATAGGTGGTGTTTATTGAAGAATGTTGGGTCAGAATTCTGGAAAGGCAGTTTATTCTGTTGAAAGTTGTCAAGTACTGTGTGCATGCTGGGATTAGGACTTATTGGATAAACAGAAGGTAGATCAGATACACAAGGTTGCAACTTTGGCAGATGCTTACACGGTTAGTCATAAGACTTATTTCAGGCAGTATGACTACTTTCCCATGAATGATCAGGGTATTTTCAGAACGGGGCAGTTTTGTAATTCAGGTCCAGACACCAAAGCTGGTTCGAAACCGGATTCATATTTGTTATCAGGTATAAGATGTGGATATTATCACAAATATGGTAAAAAAGGCCTCCACTCGCCCTATATAGTCGCCCTGAAATCTGTACAGCCAACCCTCTAGAAAATGACCCAAACCGAAACTTCTCGAGTGATCAAGCCTGCCATATTCATGTATACAAGTACGATAACTCGCTACTGTCAACATCACTAGACATGTTACCACCACGTCAATAATTTGCTGCCAGTGACAGTTACGACAAACACACGCACAACAGTCTCAACTACCAAACAAATTGCCAGTCTTGGCAACCCGATCCAGTTCGGTCGACTGTAGCATCCTACATACCAGCATATCTGAGTGCCCCCCACTTGTCCCTGTAGGCCAGGCCACACGTGGAGAACTGCATCCCCCGGGATGGGGTCCACCCAATCATGTACCCGTCCACCATTGTGGAATACTTGGAATCTCCAGTAATTTCGAACAACAGTAACTGTTTGGTATAAAATATATATATATTTATTTCCTCAGTTAAAAAAGAAGTTTTCAGAGGATACGGTTAAAGTGTACATAATGATATGTGATGCTATACATAAAGGTTTACTAACAGAACAATTCTTAGAGGAAAATATAAAAAACTTTACTTTTAGACGTTATTGCCATATGCCCGTATCATATAGCAGATAGTACTGAGTTGACCCATCATCTGTGTTTCAGTGAAACTATTTTTACTGGACGCTTTTCATATTCATGTTCGCATTAATAGCATTGTGTGTTTTGTACCACACATCATACCTGTCTTGGTGGGGAAGGTAACATATAGTGGTGAAGATCAGGGTTCGTTCCTCTCACGAGCCTATGCCAAGCCCGTAATATTCTCAATTATATATAAAATCTGTCTCAGCGTCTGTAAGTATCAGCCCCTACTGCTGTACGACGTTTACCTGACAAGCGACAAGTTTGCTGTCCCACGACAGAGCCCATGCCCATGCTGAAGTGACGTAGTTCTTGGCGTCGTCCAGGTACTGGCTGTCATTGGTCGCCTTGTACAGCCAGCACGCAGCCACACACATCTCATCCTCGAAGTGACCAGAACTGCACCGTAAACAAACAATAGAAAATCATTGGCCTCATCAATAAATTACAAAAAAGAGCATACACTATATTACTACAGTGAAGTCACCATGTATGGAAATATCCTGTCCTATAGAAGCACACACAGGTTACAACACAGAAACCATAGAAAAGTCGTCGAGTAATTTGTGGCTGGCGACATTCATTAACTACATTGGCATTTGTGTATCTGAGGCGTTGTTCATACAAGCATGCTGTTGGACACTGCAGATGACTCAGCATCATACTCAGAAGGATAAGTAGAATATTCAGCATCGATGATCAACTCATCAAGCCTTCGAAATATCTACCAAATTTAAAGAAGAAAAAGACATGGCTGGACTACACGGCACATGGGGGAGATTGTTATTAATTGATTGATAATCCATAATATTCACGCTTGCAAAAAACTTCAACGTTAATTTAGACCCATGTTATTTTACCTCTGATAATCGGTGATACTTATCTTCTATTATGTCGTTGTAAATCCCGAACCAGTGCATATAAGTAAGTTTCGACCATATTCCGACTAAGACCTTCAATATGTATATTGAATTAAATAGTCTTGATTCAATAAGAATGCAGGCCAACGGTACCTATTCACATCAACAGCTGCACTGAATTTAGTTGAATCTACAGCTTTGTTCCTGCTGAGTTCAACTTCCACACTTAAGAATTAGGTCTTGTTACAGTTTGATACACAATGTGTATCTTACAGTAGCGAGCTGAACTGAACTGAATGTCTGAATATGAACAGAGCAATAATTCATTGCAGATCTTGAAGTATCCAAAGTAAAAACCTATATTTCTAAGGGTCTCTGTGTTACTGGTAGTTTATCTAAGTATATTTCCATAGTAGGAACTGTAAAAAAAGTTAAATCACAGGAAAAAAGATACAAGCGTACGACTCCTTATATCAGTGAAGCACTGACCCTGCTAATCCATCACGCACGTCGATGTGACGTCAAGGAACATTGAGAGCCGAACACTTACTCTACTTTTAAGTTGTAACTTCAGCGGAGGTGTCCAAAGCGTGTTTTTCATATTTTCAAATAATGAACTGGCGAATATAAGTCAATCAAAATCGATAACCTTATGAAACTTTGTTTTTGCAGATTACTCGGATGATACTTTTCAGCAATCGTTTTAAATCCGCCTGCCGCATCCTCTCGCGGGAAAAAAACACGTAAAATAAAGATGAAAGTGAAAAAACCTTACGCATAGTAGTATGTGACTTCCGGCAAGCTCTGGGAGTAGATTGAAGGGTATTTTTTGCCGAAAGCGAACAGGCTCTTGGCCGCAGTGAGAAGTTTCGCCGAGTAGGCCGGGTCTGAAGATGACAGAACAATAAGCTCGTTGTACATAGAAACCTCGATACCACTTGGGCACGGGTGGCACAGCATACGCGATATAATTGAAATACTGATCAAAGCTGCATTGATCCAACTAAGTACGTCACTCCAAACACCTGTAATCTCCATATTGCCATATGCATTGCATGCCGGGGCAGGCTCGCGCTTTACCTACCAGATGGTACTGGGGTGGACATTGACATCAAGAACTAATATCACCACTACCCTACTGTCTGGAGTATATCGTGGATATCTTCTCCAAATATAAAACGTCATAAACAGTCTGGATTATCCACCGAAACCGATTCCATATGGCGTAAAGGGTAAAATAGCTGTGAAAACTATGTGAATGGACCACTGAAAATTTGTGATGACACCAGGTGTTCGTGAAAAGGGTACAGCATGTCCCGCCCTACTAGTAGCATCCTCAACTCACACAGTTTGCATATCAAGGGTAAGAATCTATCAAATAAAGCCTCACAACAGTACCCTGCTATCTGACGGCGGCTTGTAAACAAACCACACAATCCAAGTGATCGATGGACCAAAACATCCAGTGACACGATAATGCATTTACTCTTTTTGCTGACACTAATAATCAGATATGTTAATTTTGAATTATGTCTGCTGTATACAAATGCAGAGATTTTACAAACTATTCATTTGGGGAATATTTCTGAACAAACTGTTCATTTAAAAACGTCTACCCCACAATGAAATCATATGGATGCTCCCTAATACATTCTCGAACAGACCCGTGAAGATCCGGGGTAGAATAATCCCATATGCATGATTGTCATAAAATGCGACAAATGGGATCGGGTGGTCAGGCTCGCTGACTTGGTTGTTCCATGTCATCGATCCCAATTGCGTGGATCGATGTTCATGATGTCAATCACTGGATTGTCTGGTCCAGACTCATGTATAATGGAGTGCGCATACAATAGATTGGATCATCTACATGTAGGATGTGATGAACATTGAACATGTAATGTTACCAATACAACATCGCTTCTATGAGATGGACCCTTAGCCCAGGAGGACATACAGAGTAGTCTCCCCAATACTGTCTCCAAATCTAACAAGCGCTCCTTGATTTCTAGTACCAAAATATGAATGTTTCAAAACAATATTTTTGCTGGGAATTCCTGGTTAGAGTAGGTCTCCAACAACCTATGCTAGTCGTAAGAGGCTACCCTGTGGGAATTCCGAGTTAGAGTAGGTATCCAGCAACCAATGCTGGTCGTGAGAGAAGACTTTAAGTATAATTACACATCTTCCGGATTTCTGTGTATAAATATCTATTTCATTAACTGTGTAAATTGTCGAAAACGGTTGTGCAAAATCACAATATACCTTTTGTTTCGAATGCAATTGATCCGGCAGCCAAAGATGCGGCTGTTTCCCCTGCTACGTCACTTCCGCCTTTAGCAGCCGTGACCTTGAGAGCTGGGCGTGCCATTTTCATGTCTTCACAACGGCCCCAGTAAGAGTGGTCAGCCTTCCCGTCTCCAACCTTAGCAGTACAGATATGGGAATTGAACAATTCAGCAGTTACTATTCAATCAAATCAAACAATAATCATCATGACGCAACGCAGTTGAAAAGAAGTACCATAATATACTATTCGTTGGTCATATGTTGGTTTGTTAATTGTTTAACGCCGCAGTCAACAATATTCCAGCCATATGACGGCGGTCCGTAAATAATCGAGTCTGGACAAGACAATCCAGTGAGTGATTGGCATCACAAGCATCGATCTACGCAATTGGGATACGATGACATGTGTCAACCAAGTCAGCGAGCCTGACTACCCGATCCCGTAAGTCGCTTCTTACGACAAGCATAGTCGCTTTTTACGGCAAGTATTGGTTGTTGAAGACCGGGTCAAACCCGGATGTTCACGGGACTAGTAATATGTAATATATGTACATGTAATATGGTTCCAGCATTTCAACACGTCGATAACATCATTACCTGGACATAATACCATTCTTTCTCAGGCCGCCAACACTTAAGGTAGTAGTCCAGGGGCCATTTAATCATGTCGTACATTGCGTCCAGCTGACCGACGTGTTCGTAGGCGTCCTTCCATCTGTTGAGACCCCACAGCAACAGCGTCGACGAAGACGCCATGGGGAAATTGAACTTGACGTGATCACCAGCTGCGGGGAGTGATGTACATAACAATTGACCCAATAGATAAAATATAGTAAGTATGATACACCATAATACCAACATCATCAAGGGACTCATTATGGGAGGGGTGGTGAGGTAGCCTAGTAATTAAAGTGCTCGCTCGTCAAGCCGAAGGCCCGGACTCGATTCCCCACATGGGTACAATGTGAAGAGCCCATTTCTGTATCCCCGCCGATATTTTGCAGGAATATTGATACTCACTCCGTGTGTTTAATTCTGATTGAAACAGCCAGGGAAGCATCAGTAAAATGACCACAATACTTACTGCAAACAGTTTACCTATTAATGTTGCACTTCAATTTTCAGAGTCCATGTGTTACTCCGACTTCTGACGCATACAAGGTGAGTAAAAAACCAGCTCTTGCTGTATATGACATACCTCGAGGGGTAGTCAGAACAAACACCAACAACCTAAAATACCTCATGAACTGCCTGGGAAAGGATCGCACACTGTGTACACTTGGATGGATGTGACCAAACAACTTGAATGGTATCAAAACGTTACTAGGCTGAAAACAATCAGCGAATTACTGCAAACGTAAGGTCCAAAACACAACTACAATGTATGATACCCGTATCAAATAAATCGAATAACCATTTCTTGTTTGTTTAATCACTAGTTTGTTTGTTTGTTTGTTGTTGTTTTTTTGTTTTGTTTGTTTAACACTTAACAGTACACCAGCTATATGACGGCGGTCTGTATATAATCGAGTCTGGACCAGACAATCCAATAATTGATATCATGAGCATCGATCCACGCAATTGGGATACGATGGCAAGCATCAACCAAGTCAGTGAGCCTGACCACCCGATCCAGTTGGTCGCGTCTTAAGACAAGCGTAGTCACCTCTTACGGCAAGCATGGGTTGCTGAAGATCTATTCTACCCCGGATCTTCACGGGTCGCCCCCCCCCCCCCCCCCCCCCCCCCCCCCTTTCCCTCCTACTGACCATGGCTCACCATGGCTCACCACTTACCATCATACCACCCCCCAGTAAGATCTTCTCCTTCATCGCCCGTGTCGTTAAGGGCGGAGTCACCCCGCCATGGTATCGGGTTGTTGCTAGGTAGATGCCCTGATCTCTGGGCATCGTAAAACAGGATGGACATTCCAAGGACCTCGGTGTAGTTGTAGCGTGCAGGACCCGCCACTGTAATATGACAACATAACATAGACAAATGAGTGATTGAGCGTTGTTTTACGTGATTTGTTAAGTGGTTTGAGTGTAAATATATTTGTAGTGATTTTCAGTGGCAGCAAAATAATGAAATACCAGTAAAAGATTTGAACCACAGTCGACACCAGCGAGTGAAGCTTTTAGAGGTGCTGTGTGCTCCGATTAGAGTTACGAGGGGTGTTCATTAAAGATTTCCCCTGACCCACTTTCGATGGACCTTGTGGAATGAAACTTGGCATAGGTATTAGTCTTTCTCCACATAGGAACCACCAAGTTCTCCCATCGTTTTATGCAACTATGGAGACCTCGCTTGTAAAAGCCCTCATTTTGCGTCTCAAACCAGGACTTGACTTCAGAAATCAGTGTTTCATCATCTGTGAAACGTTTTCCCTTCAAAAATGACTTCATGGTTGCAAAGAGGTGGAAGTCAGATGGTGCAAGGTCAGGAGAGTAAGGAGGATGTGGAAGGATTTCATAGGCACACCCTTGGTCAGCATGCCACGCCTCTTAAGCTTGATAGCGTCCAACAATTTCCGCAGCAGTGAAGCAAAATAAGCTCCTGTAATTGTGGTACCCTTTGCAAAGAAATCCACCATCACTACTCCGTGCTGGTCCCAAAACACCGTGAGCATGACCTTGCCTGCAGAGGGTTGGACACGTGCCTTCTTTGGGGGGGGGGGGTGACTCCACATGCTTCCATTGCATCGACTGAACTTTAGTCTCAGGATCATAGTGATGGACCCATGTTTCATCCTGTGTGATAAGTCTGTCAAAAAAGTTTGCCTGTTTTTTTTGGCACATGTCCAAAAGATCCTTTGAGCAATTGACTCGTTCCTGCTTTTGGAAAGGTGTGAGCAACCTGGGAATCCATCGTGCAGACACCTTATGCATGTTCAAATTGTCATGGATGATTTTTTCCACAAACCCTACACTGATCTTGACATCTTGTGCTAACTGGCGAACAGTTATACGTCGGTCTGCCAAAATGGCGGTCTCCACTTGATGGATAGTGTCCTCATCAATGGCTGAATGGGGGCGACCAGGAATGGCAGCTGTTTCCACAGATGTGCGACCACACTTGAACTGGCGATGCCAGTGTTTAACAACGTCATATGATGGGGCATCTTCCCCATGAGTTGCTTTCATTTCACCGAAAGTTTCTTTTGGTGTGCCCCCTTTCAAATATAAAAACCTAATCACTGCTCGGTATTCTACTGGCTCCATTGTCACACCCTACTCGATCATAACACCTGTAAAAGTGGTAAGATTAATAGTTCGGTGCTGCAAATTCAGAAATAACCCATAGATACATGTATCATTACACATGTGAAATTTCAACCACATATGATAACCCTAAGTGGTTTAGGGGAAATCTTTAATGAACACCCCTCGTATCTGTCCCTTGTTGTGCACATAGACAAGGCCGCTCAATCTTTAGAGAAGTTTCGGTATGGGACAGTTTCGTGACAGCTGTAGTTTTGTACGTGCCGGTGGGTTAATCATTCCGATTCAATTTGGTAATCTCTTCACAACGCATGTCAGTCAGCAATATTCCAGCTATAGCACACATCCTGACAAAATCGAATCTAGGTCAGACAAACCTTGTTAAAATATAAAGGATGGTATGCACGCTGTCGATGTGACATAACACACAATGATCACCAGATCTATATTTCATAGTCGGTTCTTTATACTAGCTTTTGATTCGGGAAACCTTGAATCCACACCGTGATATAGGGGATAAGATATGTTTATAAGATATGTATAGATACAGTACATAAGACGTGTGCACTTACACACATAGGACGGCAGGGTGCCTGTAGGCGTCCCTCCTGTTGTCCCAATGTCTGTGTGAGGAGGTATTGTTGCATTGCCGTTGTCTGTCATGCCTTCAATGAACACAGTTGCACGTGGTGTGATGTCACCTTCAGTTGTGCCTTGGAAGGTCATGCAGAGGTCATCTCCTGGATGTTCTGCGCCGTTCCAGGGTTTGTTTGTGATGATGAACTCTCGACCTCCTGGTTTCGGTGAAACATCGCCTCTCCACGCCTATACAATCTCAGTATCAGTTCACGTAATCCAAGAACATTGATGAATATCGTACACGATGAACGTTTATTGGTCGGGGGACTAGTACATCCATGCCAAGATGAAATATATTGTAAACTGAATGACTGCCTCCGTGGTAGAGCGTCCGCCCGGAGAGCGGAAGGTTCTGGGTTCGATACCCGGCCGCGTCATACCAAAAGACGTTTTACGATGGTACATGTTGTTACCCTTTCTGGTGCTCGGCATTAAGGGGCTTAAACAAGGACTGGTCGGCTCGGAGTCAGTATACTGTGTCTGAGTGGGGTATTCATGTTGAACTGCGGCATGGTATTTCAGTGGGCTAGCACTATAAATCGGCATCAGGCCGGACTAGTACAAGCAGCCACACATACACACACGTGCATGCACGTCGCTATATAACTGCAATAATCTTGAACGCGACGTTAAACCCATTTTCACCTCACCTCACCAAACTGTGAACGTTTATCGGTCGGGGGACTAGTACATCCATGCAAAAATGATATTGTATGGTTTATTTCTTTCGACGTCAACTTGTGTACATTTCGACACAGAATTGTGGAGATGGAGCGATTCACTGTCCGTGTATCGTGACACGTATGCCATACTGGAAGGCCGGCCACGTGTTGATACAAAGCGATACATCCATGTATTATATAATTGTCTAAGATCTAGAAATTGTGACAGCAATGACCACTTAAATATCACAAATTCGAACCACTGTCAAAACGGAACGAACCATATCCGGTTTGTACAGATTCCACTGTATACTGATGATATGTAGGAGGTTATGAACATACACTTTATAACACTATTGATAATATGAAAACAGAACGAGCCACTGTTTACTACTTTGATTCAAATGAACTAAATATGTTTTTTTTGGACCACTATTCATTGTCTTTGACTGAAAGAAATGCCTAGTAGTACCTAAAATCAAAAGTGTCGATTTTCAAGTATCGTAAACGGTATCGAGACCTTGCTATAGAAGTAAGTATCGTTGTTAATGAAGTGTGTCGTGCATAACACACTATAATCATGACTATCCGTCATACCTGCAAAGGGGGGCACGGGTGGCCCAGTCGTCTAAGGCGCCGCGATTCGCTGTGCAGAGTTGCGTCCTTTGTGCACAATCACAAATCTATGATTGTGGGTTCGAATCCCGGTTCGCCCCAATTATGATTCTTGGTTTGTCAGCACCATACTCGCGCTCGTTGGTTTCACCGAAGTGGTAAACGTCTGAGACCTGCATCACTTCGGGCTTTCCCCCCACATTAAGCTGACGCGCTGCGATATAACTGGAATACTGTTAAAAGCGGCGTTAAACCTAACTCACTAACTCACTCACTCATACCTGCAAGTCATTTATTTTTCGGTCGAAGACCATGTGAGCGCGCCATGTTGACAGTTCCGCTGTAATGCCCACACAAAACTTGCCCTGGAAGCCGCCGGACCAGTGTGTGGTGATCTCCACATTGTAGGCAGCCAGTGCCAGGGGAAGGACCAACACGCTGACTAGCCTGTTGAGGAAGCAGTAGAAGTGGGTTAACCAACTTACTTTGGTACCGTGTACATATAGTCTTTAGTCTTTACACAGTGTGGTTGTGATTGTAGCAGAAAAACATTTAAGATGTTGACGATGAATGTCAATGACACTCTGAAAGTCTCTCAAAATATGTATGGACACACAATCTCAAAGTGAAACATATCCACTAAGCTACATCTTCACCTGTCTAGTGGACAGGTAAAACTTTGTGTATTGATTGGTTAATCAATAGGACCCGTGAAGAGCCGGGGTAGAATAGGTCTTCGGCAACCCATGCTTGTCGTAAAAAGCGACTTTGCTTGTCGTAAAAGGCGACTAAACGGGATCGGGTGGTCAGACTCGCTGACTTTTATTATGCATGTCATCGGTCCCAATTGCGTAGATCGATGCTCATGATATCATTTACTGGATTGTCTCTTCCAGACTCGATTACTTACAGACCGCCGTCATAAAGCTTGAATATTGCTCAGTGCGGCGTTAAACAACAAACAAACAAACAAATAGTATATATTACATGACTGGAACAAAGAGTAATCAAATATATTCGATACGCCTTCTTTTCTTGAAGTAGTTTTTGTCGATCAGCTTACATACAAGTTAATATATTGTTTGCATGCGTGATTTTCATGGATTGTAAATACGATTGTAAAAGTACGAGACAAGATTACCTTTTGTAGCATATGTTCGCGGGCTCATTTTTCGCAGTGGTACAACTTCGAGAGGTCAGGGATACCAACACTACCTTATCATTGACATAATTCTGTGTAGGACGACAATTCGTGTTAACCTATAGTCAATACCGTGAATTAGCATATGTATGTCTTCTGCGCCATTTTACAGACACACACAAACATACACACACTCTTTGTTATGCTGGTTACGTCCGCTGTTCGAGGGGGTGTCAGTGACACCCACTGACAGTATCTGACAGCCTGTGGAAATGAGACACTTCTACAGTCACGAGTGGCCTTGTGAACACATCTTCTTCTTTTTTATCTCAATATCCCAGTTTAAGATCACAAAACAAGTGAAATTATGTATTTATAGTATTGTGGCTATTCTTGTAAACTATAACACCGATATGGTTCCTGCAAACCATGGATCGTATTCAGGGAGAGTTAGGATATCCTCCCACAGCCCTACCGCTGAGGCATCTCAATATGGCGAGTTTAATAACTACAATTAAATTCTTATCTTTTTATTAAAATTGTTATAATACATTAATTGTCAGCAACCATAACGAACTTTGATTTTTTTATATTTGTTTATGTTTTTAATAATTGTATTACTTATTGTTTTATCTATTAATGTCATGATCCCTGGAGTTTCTCTGATGGAAGTGCTAGCCCAGATTCCACCGAAGCTTGAGGTTAGGATATGTGGATACTGTGCATATGTATAAGGGTGTTGTAAAAGGACCAATGAAGGTGCAAGAAAAGTAATAGTAGATGAGTAGATTACAGGCATACATGAATACAATATGGAAGAACGGGATATGATGTGGTCATTTCTTCCCGATACAATAGTGTTAAATGAAACATGAAAAGGTAACCAATACTCTGAAGCTGGACAGGATTAATCATCGCTTATCTTCTTCCAAGTTCATCATCTCTCAGGAAACTCCTTATGTTAATTGAAACCTGGCAACATTACATTGATAGATTGACAAAGTAGAAGCAGGAATAGCCAAGCTACAGCCCACAATTAAGGACAATTGCAAATTAGGGTGCGACACAATGGAAATATAACAAATAGGTTTGAAATAGGCGATAAACATACTGTGTTTTCAATGAAGAGCCAGCATTAATGTTGAGTTAACCGGCTTAACTGAATTTAGAACTGAACGCGCAAAAGGTTTCAAATGTTAAATTTAGCGCGGTTAAAAGTACATTTAACCTAGTTCTCCATTGAAAACACAGTATGCGTATTTCCATTTTACAATGTGTAAATAAAACGCGATCTCTTTGGTGCAGCAAATAGCCAATGTTTGGTGTGGGTTGTCCATCTGAATTACGGAATCACTGACAACAGCCTTTAAATATGGCGCTATATATTCTAAAGCAGTTTTTTTACATAATACATGTACTTCACTGTCATGAACATATGACAGGCATTGAAAGCATGCAGCACAGCTTCGTAACCAACATGAAATGGGGACCCCTAAAGAATACAAAGCAAACCTTGCAAGGTTTTGTTTCAATCAGAGAGGATATATTGTGATTATGTAAATTGTAATTGATCAGAAACGAGTAACAGCGTCAGGAGCCTGACTGTACCGATCTGTGGTCTGTCAATACCAAACCCGTGCTCGCTGGTTTCAAGTCCACAAGGGACTTTCTCCAACAGAGCTGACACGCCGTGTTATAACCGAGGTATTGTCCACTGAGACGTTAAACCCAATTCACTCATCATATAAAGAGTTAAAGCAGAATTAAAACCAATTCACACACACAGACACAGACACACATACAAACACACACACAGACACACACACACTAACGTTAGTCAAATCAGTACTGCTCATTCAAGATGTAAGACATATTACGCAGAAGGTAAATATTTTGTTTGTGTGTATGTTGTTAACACCACACTCAGCAGTATTCCAGCTGTATGACCAGACAATCCAGTGATTGACATCATGTGAATCGAACTACGCAATTGGGATACGATGACATGCATCAACCAAGTCAACGAGCCTCACCACCCGATAGGTTAGTCGCCTCTTACGACCAGCATAGTCGCCTCTTAAGACAAGCATGGGGTTGCTGAAGACCTATTCTATCCCGGATTTTCATGGGTATGAAGATGTCTAGCACATCTGTTGAATCAGATTTAGTGTGTACTGCAGGGGAACAAGAAACACAACCTTACCGCATGGTCTGTTAGACTGAATGACACGGCACGGACTTATCATCCCACATATGTTCTGTGTCCCACCTTATCGTTAATGCATTGTGAAGTGCTGTCTTACATACTAAGGAGGGTGGCTAAAGCGCTCGCTTCGAAGGTCCGGATTCGAATCCCCACATGGGTACATTTCTGGTGTCCCCGGCCGTGATATTGCTGGAATATTGCTAAAAGTGGCGTACAACCCTACTCAGTCATTCATCTACGTGATAAGTTACATTTGGTAATGTAGGTATCTATTTATGCAATACATACGTGTTTATTAGTGAGTAAATGAGTATGATTTTACGCCGCTTTTAGGTTATCCATCCATTTGTTTCTACGCAGGGCCACAGGTGTCTAAAGCGCCACGATTCGCTGGGCAGATTTGCATGCTTTTGTCGTGTTAGAAGCGACCCTTGGTTCCAATCGCGGTACGCCCTGATTATATTTCTGGTTATGCCAGCACCATACCCGTGCTCGTGGGTTTCACCAGAGTGGTATGTCTGAGCTCTCCAACACGCCAACACATAGAGCTGTTAACGCATTAGTATTAGAGAAACGTTTGATTCAACAAATCGGCGTGATATGATGTTAATGCCTTCTGTCTATGAAGGATGGCATGTCACAAAGGCAAGTCCACATGCGTCACTATTGTAACTATGGAAGCGTATTAGTGCCACAGTCTAAAAAATATATATCATCTTCGTAGATGAACGTATCAACTACGTAGATGATACTATAATCCACGTAGATAATACTTTTATCTAGGTATCAATAGTTTCTCGAGTAATCGACACTATACGTACGATTATAATATCACATACGTACTACCTACAATACGCATTTCGATAAGTGATCTGTTTATTCTATGCCTACCCATCACATATGGGCGGCTTATTACGTTGATGCACACATCCCCCTACCATGTCCCAAACGTGTACAGTTGGGGAAAGGTCTGGACTCATTGCTGTCCATGACACTCTATGAATGTTGTCATGCTGGTGAACAGTGACAAATTGTGCACGGTGAGCACGGGCGTTGTCGTCCTGAAAGACAAAACGACGACCCACACGCGATTCAAACGAAACAAATAAGGGTGTCAGTATGTTGCCGGATTGTAATGTCCAGTTACCCTTCCTTGCACAAAATGGAGTGCGTTTCGGTCAGTCATGTTATGCCAACCTACACCATAACCGATCCACCACCAAATCTGTTATGGCCTCATGTTGACATTGGCTTGACGTTCATTTCGACGTCGCCAGACACGACCACGCCTTTTAAGGAAATGCAAAGTGAATCGGGACTCATCTGAAAACATGACACGTGGAAACATGACACGACTACATCAGTTTCTACAGTAGGACGTTTTGTGAGATGGCGCACAACACGTGGCCGTCCAGCATGGGGATGAGCTGCATGTAGACGATTTCTAATCTTCTGACCCGTAATTTGGTACTCCAGTAGCCCCGTGAAAGATTGCAGTAATTTTATTCGCCGTTTGAGCTCAATTTCGTATAGCCTGGTATCGGACAATCGCCTCTGAACACTTGTCGTTGGGCGAGGAAGCCCTGAACGGGGTCGATCGTCAACATTTTAGCTTTGTCAGTACCTGTTCCACAGTCCGCTATCTCACAGACTGTGGAACATTGAACGAATTGACCACTCCGTGCGTTGCAGACGCCACATCGCCAATTCATACTCAAACAATGAATTTAATAAAGTAAATCACAAATGTATGATAATCAGAATCAATGCGAGAGATTAATCGACCTCCCTTGAAAGCGTCCAAATCAGGGACGACACTCTACGTACATATGAAGCACTAGTGAGTGAGGCACGTGCAAACTGAAGGATGTATTCAGGTGTTGAGTTCTATTGACATAAACGTTCTTGCATAGAATGTTTGTCGTGAACACTTATCTTTGTTCTAATTTATGCACTTGGTATTACCATCTATATGTCACGATTCCCTACTTTTGCCTAAGAATATATATATATATATATATATATATATGGTGGCTAAAAGTGAAACAAACAAGAAATGGGTTTTTTCGGCGGTGATAAGGCTGTTATAGTTGTGTCTTGGCCCTTAACGTAACTGTTTCGGCGACTGTTTTCAGCCTAGTAACGTTTTGATAACGGTGGTATTTGTCTGGTCAAATCCAATTTTCAAGTGATTACTTTCTTTTGCTAGGCAGTTTATATACACACTTCAAAAAAGGGAAACGCAATTATATATTTTAAAAAAGTAAAAGTAAAAATATTGTACCTTATAAAGTCGATATATTTAATTTAATATCATAGATACAAATATGACATTTTGTAGCTCGATAGTCACATGTTGTCGTTGTACAAAGGCATTGAAAACTGTCCATTGTCATGTCACATTATGCCACAAGGTTGCGCTGAACTCAGTATCTCGTGTGACCGCCCCGGACAGGAATCACGGCTCTGAATCTCCTCGGCACTGACTGGATAAGTGTAAGAATTCTGTCCTGCGGAATTCTGCGCCATTCTGCTTGTAACGCGTTGGTCAGTTGTGGGAATGTCAGCGGCGTGTTCTGACGTTGAATGTACACGCCAATGGAGTTCATCCCAGAGGTTTGAGTTCGATTGAGTTGAGATCTGGAGATTTCAACGACCAGGGCATTATAAAGGTAGTCAACCGTGACACGAGCTGTGTGGTGGAGCGTTGTCCTGTTGAAACTTCTCCCTCTGGCGGTCAATGATTGGAAGAAGGTGTGGTTGAATAATTTGATTCATGTAGGGATTTGCTGTCAAATTTCTCTGAACCACAACCAAGTCAGATCTCGTGGTCTAGGATATGGCCCCCCACACCATGATACTACCGCCACCGAAATTGTTGAATTCACGTACACAATGTGCGGCAAAACGCTCATTTCGAGGACGATAAACACGTTGTCTTCCATCTCGCGGGTGAACAAGAAATCGTGATTTATTGCAAAACCACACTCGTCTCCAGTTTTTCAAATTCCAAGGCTGTTAGGTATGGAACCAACGCAAGCGTCGCTGTCGATGGATCTGTTGCAAAACAGGGACGATAACTGGTCTTCTGGGTCGGATTCCAGCCTCGTGAACATTGTTCCTGACAGTCTGGTCCGATATCCTCCACAAACCAGGGATGCGTCCAGCAGTCTCCGTAGCTGTGGCATTCCGATGACGTAGGTGAAAAAGTCGAATGTAGCGAAACTGTGCAGGGTTGGTAACTCTTGGTCGGCCGGTTCTCAGACGGTCTGCAGCGGAATTGAACTGTGTGAATAGGTACCAAAGGCGACAAACGGTGCTGCGGTGGACGTTGAAGTGGCGTGCAACAGAAGACCGCGATTCCCCTCTTTGGATACGTCCTTTGGCGATGTTCCGATCGGCAGCGCTGAGTCTCGGCATTTTCGAACTTGAAAAATGTTGACAATTGAATGACAAATTATTGGCTTGTACTTGCCTTTTTATATTCACTACCACGAGTTACGAATGCCATAAGTTGCACGTGCATTTTGTTTCACTGTTTTCCTCCATGACATTTTTTAACAAGTGTGAAAAACAATGCCGTTTAGTACATTGCAAATCGACAATGGCTGCGTTTTGAGGCACCGTTTGTCGAATATCAGGCCACCAACATTTTACAATAATATATATCCAATTTATATACCGGATTTATTTGGGTACTCAGGTTCAATGAACTACATACTACCTGTGCGTTTCCTTTTTTGAAGAGTGTATGTTTTCTGAAACAATCGATTATAACACATATGCACTCCTTATCATTGGTGTGAGTGTACGAGGCTGGGGAAAAGACCGTGTGATGGCTATCACGACGCAGTCAATGGGTTCCTCCCGGTTTATCGGTATATTTAATCTCCACTTACAGTGGCCATTCTATTTCCACGAACCTTCTTCGTGAGGCTACTTACCATTGGCTTGTTCTTTACCTGGGACTCAATAACACTCTATATTTTATTATGTTTTTTGGAAGACAAACAGTGCCCGAGACATGACGTTATCGCCCCCTCTTCATTTGAAATGTCCTGTTTAATCTACAGGTATCTACAACTAAACCAATTGGGAAATGTTTTCACAGAATGTTGTCCCGCTTGATCACACATGCCATGTAGTGCTGACATTACCAATGAACTGTTTGCCGATCCATACTGCCTATATATAATGCAGTCTGTCTATATGATGAATATAGTTTGACGTGTTTTTTGTTGGTGGGCATCAACAGCTTGCATCGTCAAGCAACTCATTGACGTTCAGGAGAACTATTTACACAACTCTTATATTAAGCGATGTGTTATAATAATATAATCCATGCATATCATTGAAGACTTCAAGATTTTAGAATTGATCCCTTTAGGACACTTGAGTCAGTTCTAGCTTGTTTGTCCTGGCGCGTTACACGTGTTATTTAAATGAATGCCATACCGGGGGGACTTGGTCACACAGTGGACAACCGACGTGATCAGGCCCAGAAGACAATGTTCCTTAGACTGGTACTGTGGATAGGTGAGTTTCTCTACCAACATGTTCGTTACGAAGCTGTGAGCAAGTAGTCTCTGATCGGGATCAAGAATTTGGAAGGACATGAAAACGTGACACTTTTTTCATGGATTATACCTTCTTTTATTCATTTAACGACGTTTCAGAGCACCATCTGGTAAAAATACAAGAAGTAGCTCTGAAACGTCGTTAAATGAATAAAAGAAGTTATCCATTAAAAAGTGTCGTGTACTCATGTGAGCCATTACATGTAGCCAGAGCTATAAAATAACTGAGGCCTGCGAACTAGCTAATGTCTTGTTCATTATGTCTTTTAGCTTATATTCCAATCTATCTGTGGAGTTTTTTAAAGGTCTGATGTCGCATGATATAATGCTGGTTGCAGTTGCTTCCGTCACTGTGTTAATCGGGGCGGCCTAGTGGTGAAAGCGTTCGCTCTTCACGCTGAAGACCCGGGTTCGATTCCCGACATGGGTACAATTCCCGAAGCCCATTTCTGGTGTCCCCCGCCGTGATATTGCTGGAATATTGCTGAAAGCGGAGTAAAACCATCCTCAATCACTCACTCACTCACTGTGATGATCTACCTTCTCATTCATGGAAGCGATGATCTTAATCTGCACATGTTTCAACTATATCGTATACACGAGTTACTATTTCAGTGTGTTGCTGAGTAGACTCGTGGATAAAGCTTTTTTACTCTTCTTGCATGTGTACAATATGTGAATTCCATCTCAGATGTTGGCCGCCGTTATATGGGCGAATATTGCTAAAAGCGGCGTAAAACCATATTCATTCATCCATGCTGTCATTTCACTAAGCTATCATTTGTTTTATCCACTATCCTTTCAAACACATTTAAAGATATGAGGTATACCATTTCGTTCTACATACATGCACAGATGTATATAGATACATTATTACATGAGCTATGGGTGAGGTGGGGTGAAATGGGGTTTAATGTCGCATTCAAGATTATTGCACTTGTATAGCGACGTGCATGCACGCGTGCCTTCGTGCGTCTGCATGTACAAGTCGATTTTATAGCGCTAGCCCACTGAGATACCAAGCCGCACTTTAACAGGGATTCCCCACCCAGACACAGTAGACGACCAGTCCTCGTTTTAGCCCCTTTATGTCGAGCACCAGGCAGGGTAACGAGTACTACCTTTTAACATTTTTTGGTATGATGCGGCCGGTGATCGCATCCTCCCACTCCCCCCACACACACCCAACCTTGCTCTCTCCAGGCAGACACTCTACCACTAGACCACGTAGGCGGTTACATGAGCTGTGGGATAAAGATTACGTTGTAGTTCATAACTCATATTAACAAAATTCTCCTTTGTCTTCTGTAGCCACTGTTTTGGTTTGCAGCTTTACCTGCTGGTATCCAAGCGGTGGGGGATTCCAAGAATAATTATGCGGATTCTAAAGAACAAAAGACCCCGGATGGGTACTGGTTTGTGACGTCATTGTTGAATAACACCAGGATGATCATTACCATATTCGATGTCGAGCTCCACAACATAGCGTTGGCCATTGACGAGCAGGGCATCGAGGCCATTGACTTCCACGGTACACCAACATCCTTTGTAAAGATACCAAACAATGGAGACTGGAATGGAGACAATGCCTTCACGTGGTGCTTTCTGCTGTATACAGATGTTGAACAAACAGCCATCATAATGGAATATGAAGGCGTCACGGGGGCGGCGGATGGTGTTAGGTTGACGCTACAAGGAACAAACATCACAGGACAAGTGTTTGATAAGAATGGCAGCGTCTTTGGAAGCCATACACATGATGGCTTGAAGCTGAGTTCCTGGAACTATGTTCTCTTCAGCTACAACAATATCTGGGGGCATATTGATGTACAGATCAATGATATAATGCAAGGGGATTTTCGATCATCGCCAGGGGTAGAGGCTAACGCCTTGGGGGACATTAAAATAGGAGGTTCGGTTGATGGGACTGGTCCCTTCAAGGGAAAAATAGCATGTATCCAGTTCTACGAAGTGGCATTTTTAAAGAAAGGTCTTCTGGAGGTTGACAATTTCTATATGGCTGCGTTAAACGAAAGGAAAGAACTGCGTAAGTTGACTTTCCACAGATAAATATCCGTAGTTATCGAGGTCGAAACCAACCCATGACAAACAACAAAAATCATTACATCAGGTTGAACATTTGGGGACCAAAATTGTTTATTTCATTGCTAAAAGGTTCATTGTTCAATATCATGGATGGATTAATTCTGAGCATTATTTTTATACACCAAGTTACCTCAGACACACGAACGCGTAGTAATGCAGACATGCGAACGTTCTTCATTTTAGAGGAAGGCAATGAGTTTCCAAATGGAACCACACTGACGTACTTCCCTTGATTGCCAAACGTTTTCTGGAACACTGAACAGGTGATCTAGGGGTCACTTACTATGAACCACTTGAACTCGCCTCTTAAATATATATATAGGGGTGGTGAGGTAGCCTAGGGGTTATAGCGTCCCTTTGTCACGCCGAAGGCCTGGGTTCGATTCCTGACATGGTTATAATGTGTAAAGTCCATTTCTGGTATCCCCGCAGTCATATTGCTGAAAGATTACTTAAAGCGGCGTAATCACAGCATACTCACTCACTTTAATGCAACAGGAACTCATTAACGTCACTACTTCGCATGTTGAGAGTTATCGGAAGCTTTAACGGATCAAGTCAAACTTTCTACTACCCTTCATGTACTTTTACCAGAGAGGCATTATGCCTTGTGTTTGGCATAACAATAACACAGTTTTAATAAATGTATAAAAAAACAAATGTCAAACGAAAAGTTCTATCTGAGCAAAATATATATAAGTATTTAAAAACGTGTCTAATCTTCTTATGTTACCTCTTCACCATATGACGTTCGCCAGAGGCTCGGGACGTACACTATTCACTCACTCAGGATGGATAATCTGTAATTCCTAGTTGCTCGTTGGTTCTTCTCTAATTACGTAACAGTCACAGACACGTCACAGCCGTGTGATATCATTGTAATAGTGGTGTGAGAAATACGACTAAACGTCGCAAGGCATGCTTTATTCTTTATGCTTACAAGTAAGGGACCAACAATTGGATTTTATGGGAGGGGATTTATCGAAGAAATATATTGTCTCCGAAAATGTTTGAAAAAAATAATTATGCTTCAGACTGTTGAATGAAATGAAACTGAGTGCCACAAAAATAACAGTTTTGCAAGGTATCTTTTTTTAAATAAAAAGATATTATCTTGTTAGGTAGCTGTAGCTGAACAAATAGGAAATGCTCGGTTCCTTGAGTACATTGATGTTAAGAACAATGTTTGATTATGTACATATTTGTTTAAAGGCTATTATTGTTGGTTCCTTAATTATCCTACTCAAAGTGTTGGACTCAACATATGACATTTTAACTCAACATCATTATTCATGGTCGAGTCATGGGGCTACTATGGAAATATACATAGTGTGCTTTCAATGTACAGCTATTTTGCATGTATATCTAACTTATTTCACATTTGAAACCGAGCATTTTTATGGAACAAAGCTCTACATTGAAAACACAGTAAGTTTGTCTCATATATATTTCATTTTTTTACAGAATATGTTGCTTTTAGCTATTTAGAATTTACTTGAAGCTTCTGTTTACAGTAAATTTGGCCGGGGTGGAAGAAATTGAAAAAGAAGTTAACGATTTCGCTACTTCAAAAAAGCAAGAGGCACCTGCTGCATTCTGGCCGATATCCTCCACACTTAACCACGATGGTGAGGTGGAGAAGTCAAGCTTCTTGATGGAACTCCATGATGCGGAGTTGATCCAAATGGGCACTGGAGCTGAAGCCGTGGAGCTGAAGGGAACACCGACTTCCTACGTAACCATCCCCAACGACGGGGGCCTGAATGGCGTCAGTGCATTTTCCTGGTTTTTAAAAATTTACCCAAAAGCTGAACAGAGAGCAACTATTCTGGAATATGCTGGCGCCGATGGATGTGGAGATGGGCTGCGGCTTTTACAGAGTGGCACGAATTTAACGGTTGTGATGTACAACGAACATGGTCATCCTTATGGCGAATATGCTCGAGATGTTTTGATCATCAATCAGTGGAATTTTATAGGAATCACGTACAACAAATATTGGGGTCACATTGATATTATTTACAATAAAGATGACACATATTTCGAGACCTTCAATCTCCAAGTTTCAACAAATGCAGTTGGTGATATCACTATCGGTAGTTCCGTGAACGGGACAGACCCGTTTCATGGCAATATAAACTGCATACAGTTCTACAATAAGACACTATTCAAGGCTGCACTAGATCATCTTACGGATTTCTGTGACCCTGCGCTGCTTACTAATATAGGTAAGGATCATCATACGTACAATTACTGCATCCTTTGAAAACGTGATGCTCCATTTCAATTATAGTTTTAGTGCACGTATCCAATAACGATATTAAGCAATAGTAGAACTGGTATGCTGTGTAATACATCTAAACTAAACTACGGTTATAACGAACTCAAAGGGACCACAAATGTTTTTTCGTTATAACCGCAGTTCGTTATAAGCAAATGTAGGGAATATATATAGCAAATAGACAAGACAAAAAAATAGTTCGTTATATCCGTCGGTTCGTTATAAGCGTGTTCGTTATAACCGTAGTTTACTGTATGTGTTTTGGGACTATTTCAGCTTGGGCTAATGGACACACGACGGTCTCATCCTCCACCTCAACACCTGCATCTACGGGTGAGTAGAATGGGGGCCTCACGTCATCCGATTCAGTGAACTTCGTTGTGCGAGAACAAACTGTCTGCACTTGGTGTACATTTACTAAGTGTCGGACCGACTCATGATCAAACTGCGACCGATTATTACTTAGTTGGGCTACTTAGGTAATGTCTGATGGTATGTTGAACGACTGCCGTCGATAGTTTGGGTAGTATTAATGAATTTGATTCCATTAAAACTACGTCAGTTGCTAAAATTATCTATATCTACACATTAAATGAGCTGCTCATTTTCCCGGTCAAACATAACATCTGTCTCGGCTATTTAAACAAATCTATACAGTGTTACTAGCATCCAAATATCTTGAAAAAAATATAACGACCGCGTAACAAAACAACTTAGTAGCCCATATAGTGGATTACCCATATATTAGACAGCCTACACAGTGGATATGGATAACCTGCATTGTGGATAGCCTACACAGTGGATAGCCTATACTGTGTAAAACCCATATAGTGGATATCCTGTATATATGGATAGCCTGTATTGTGGGTAGCTTGTTTTGTGGATAGCCTATACTGTGGATAACCTATATAGTGGATAGCCTATTTATATGGATAGCCTGTATTGTGGGTATCCTGTTTTGTAGAAAGCGTATATAGTGGATAGACCGAAGTATGGATAGCCTGTATTGTGGATAGCTTATATTGTGTGTAGCCTATATTGTTGACTACCTATACATGGTGGTTGTTGTGACTACAATATCCGTTGCGATAGTTATTGTCATAACTATCTGTATATAGTGGCTTTTGTGATTACCATCTCCGTTGTTATAGTTATTGGCATATCTACCTATATATAGTGATTATTGAGATTTCCATATCCGGTGATATAGTTATTGGCATATCTACCTATATGTAGTGATTATTGAGATTTCCGTATCCGATGCTATAGTTATTGACATATCTACCTATATACAGTGAATGTTGAGATTTCCATTTCCGGTGCTATAGTTATTGGCATATCTATGGTGATTTTTGAGATTTCCACGTCCGTTTCTATAGTTATTGACGAATCTACCTATATATAGTGATGGTTGATATTTCCATCCGGTGCTATAGTAATTGGCATATATATGGTGATTGTTGAGATTTCCACATCCGTTGCTATAGTAATTGACAAATCTACTTACATTTATATAAAGTGGTGGTTGGGATTACCACATCCGTTGCTATAGTTATTGGCATATCTATAGTGATTGTTGAGATTTCCATATCCGGTGCTATAGTTATTGACATATCTACCTATATACAGTGATGGTTGAGATTTCCATATCCGGTGCTATAGTTATTGGCATATCTATGGTGATTGTTGAGATTTCCACGTCCGTTGCTATAGTTATTGACATATCTACTTACAGGTTTATAAAGTGGTGATTGGGATTTCCACATCCGTTGCTATAGTTGTTCGCATATCTATAGTGATTGTTGAGATTTCCATATCCGGTGCTATAGTTATTGACATATCTACCTTTATTGGTGATTGTTGAGATTTCTATATACAGTGCTATAGTTATTGACGTATCTACCTATATATAGTGATTGTTGAGATTTCTATATACGGTGTTATAGTTATTGACATATCTACCTATATACAGTGATTGTTGAGATTTCCATACCCGGTGCTATAGTTATTGGCATATCAATGGTGATTGTTGAGATTTCCACGTCCGTTGCTATAGTTATTGACATATCTACCTATATTGGTGATTGTTGAGATTTCTATATACGGTGCTATAGTTATTGACGTATCTACCTATATATAGTGATTGTTGAAATTTCCATATCCGGTGTTATAGTTATTGACATATCTACCTATATACAGTGATTGTTTAGATTTCCATATCCGGTGCTATAGTTATTGACATATCAATAGAGGTTATCACGCGAGTGTGTTTGGGGATGGTAAATATCCTGCATTAGGAATAAACACTATGTATTTAGTTCGCCAAGGCTCGTTAAATACGTAGTGTTTATTCCTAATACCGAATATTTACCATCCCCAAACACACAAGCGTGATAACCCCATTATCATATAATGTCATTCTTTAATTCTGTGCTTCAAAATCGCTTTCCCTCTCTCACAAACATTACCGAAACATTGCGACTTTTCCTGGAGTGCGCGCATTAATATTTATTACGTCACAGGGTAAGTGACGTGTCAGTCGGACAGTGACAGTAGCCAATATAGTTCCAACTGAAATCTGTTTCTTACACAGTGGCGAAGCAACGTATACGCAAAACAACAATTGTTTTTAATTGCCTTTCGTGGCAATCCATCGGTCTGTCCGCTAGAGTAACTGCCCTTTGTCAAAGGGAAGCTACCCTAACCCTAGTCTATGAGACGTCACGGCCACGGTCAGACGTTGTTGACAGTCGGTCTGTCCTATCATAAGAAGTGTAGTCAGATGTACACACAGCGACAAAACGAAACAAGGTAACAATTCAAACATATTTCGGCCAAATCCAACTATTGTAATTTCTGGAGAAGGTTTCAAGCCGCAGAGGTCTACAAGCACAGACATGGCTACTGATCCCGCTTGGCTAGGCCTCGTGCCCTCGCAAAATTGTTTCGAAATTTATATCTCCAAAGTTGCCAAAACTTATAAAATGTCTTAGCTACGTCACAGTTAGACACTGGTTTTCAGTATATTAGACTGTTCTTTTGATAATGATAGCAATTATCCCTGTAGTTTATCCAGATTCCCGATGGTTAATTCTGACTCGATCGCCGAATGACGAGGGCGACGCCATGTTTGTTTATAAACAGTGAAAGTAGTCCCTACTTGACCCTTGATATTTGCATCTCTATCCGCATATGACCTCAACGTATATGTTTTTATCCGTTGGCTTTATCTTACCGAGCAACCTACTCATTATATGATAAACCTATATACGGTGATTGTTGAGATTTACATATCCGGTGCTATAATTATTGACATATCTACCTATATATAGTGGTGGTTGAGATTTCCATATCCGTTGCTATAGTTATTGACATATCTATCGTGATTGTTGAGATTTCCACATCCGTTGCTATAGTTATTGGCATATCTATAGTGATTGTTGAGATTTCTACGTCCGTTGCTATAGTTATTGACATATCTAGTAACTACATGTATATAAAGTGGTGGTTGGGATTTCCACATCCGTTGCTATAGTTATTGGCATATCTATAGTTATTGTTGATATTTCTACGTCCGTTGCTATAGTTATTGACATATCTATAGTGATTGTTGAGATTTCCACATCCGTTGCTATAGTTATTGACATATCTACCTACATGTATATACAGTGATTGTTAAAATTTCCACATCCGTTGCTATAGTTATTGACATATCTACCTATATATTGTGATTGTTGAGATTTCCATATCCGGTGCTTTAGTTATTGACATATCTACCTATATATAGTGATTGCTGAGATTTCCATATCCGGTGCTTTAGTTATTGACATATCTACCTATATATAGTGATTGCTGAGATTTCCATATCCGGTGCTATAGTAATTGACATATGTACCTGTACACAGCAATGGTTGAGATTTCCATATCCGGTGCTATAGTTATTGACATATCTACCTATATACAGTGATTGTTTATTTTTCCATATCCGTGACTACAATATCCGTTGCGATAGTTATTGTCATAACTATCTGTATATAGTGGCTTTTGTGATTACCATCTCCGTTGTTATAGTTATTGGCATATCTACCTATATATAGTGATTATTGAGATTTCCATATCCGGTGATATAGTTATTGGCATATCTACCTATATGTAGTGATTATTGAGATTTCCGTATCCGATGCTATAGTTATTGACATATCTACCTATATACAGTGAATGTTGAGATTTCCATTTCCGGTGCTATAGTTATTGGCATATCTATGGTGATTTTTGAGATTTCCACGTCCGTTTCTATAGTTATTGACGAATCTACCTATATATAGTGATGGTTGATATTTCCATATCCGGTGCTATAGTAATTGGCATATATATGGTGATTGTTGAGATTTCCACATCCGTTGCTATAGTAATTGACAAATCTACTTACATGTATATAAAGTGGTGGTTGGGATTACCACATCCGTTGCTATAGTTATTGGCATATCTATAGTGATTGTTGAGATTTCCATATCCGGTGCTATAGTTATTGACATATCTACCTATATACAGTGATGGTTGAGATTTCCATATCCGGTGCTATAGTTATTGGCATATCTATGGTGATTGTTGAGATTTCCACGTCCGTTTCTATAGTTATTGACATATCTACTTACAGGTTTATAAAGTGGTGATTGGGATTTCCACATCCGTTGCTATAGTTGTTCGCATATCTATAGTGATTGTTGAGATTTCCATATCCGGTGCTATAGTTATTGACATATCTACCTTTATTGGTGATTGTTGAGATTTCTATATACAGTGCTATAGTTATTGACGTATCTACCTATATATAGTGATTGTTGAGATTTCTATATCCGGTGTTATAGTTATTGACATATCTACCTATATACAGTGATTGTTGAGATTTCCATACCCGGTGCTATAGTTATTGGCATATGTATGGTGATTGTTGAGATTTCCAAGTCCGTTGCTATAGTTATTGACATATCTACCTATATTGGTGATTGTTGAGATTTCTATATACGGTGCTATAGTTATTGACATATCTACCTATATACAGTGATTGTTTAGATTTCCATATCCGGTGCTATAGTTATTGACATATCAATAGAGGTTATCACGCGAGTGTGTTTGGGGATGGTAAATATCCTGCATTAGGAATAAACACTATGTATTTAGCTCGCCAAGGCTCGTGATACCTATTGTCCATATCTATATCCACGGTGATTGTTGTACTCGTTGCTAAGTGATATTTTCATACAGAGCGATTTGTACATTGGTTGCTATAGTAATGGTCACACAGCTTACCTGTTGCTACAGAGATTGACACATTGTTTGTTACAGCAACAATTGTAGCAGTTGTCATTATATTACACCATAGAGACCGTCCCCATGGCAATGGTCTCAGTAGCAATTACCATATCTGTATCTATATGTCGTTGCTATAGGAACTGTCGTACTATTGTACACAGAGAAAGACACAATTGTTGCTATAACAAAGACATAACTATATATCATTGCTGTACCCACAGGCACAGTTACATACACGGCTACAGACACGGCGACAGACACGACTACAAACACGGCGACAGACACGACTACAGACACGGCGACAGACACGACAACAGACACGATGACAGACACGACTACAAACACGGCGACAGACACGACTACAGACACGATGACAGACATGACTACAGACACGTCGCCAGACACAGCGCCAGACAGGACTACATACACGGTGACAGACAAGACTACAGACACGATGACAGACACGACTACAGACACGGCGCCAGACACAGCGCCAGACAGGACGTCAGACACGGCGACAAACACGAATACAGACACGATGACAGACACGACTACAGACACAGCGCCAGACATGACGACAGACACACCGCCAGACACCACTACAGACATGGTGACACACACGACTACAGACACGGCGACAGACACGGTGACAGGCATGGCTACAGACGCGGCAACAGACACGGCTGCAGACAACAAGACTACAGACACGACGGCAGACATTGCTGCAGATGCGGTGACAGACACGATGACAGACACGAATACATACACTACAGACACGACTACAGTCTCGGTGACAGACACCGATGTAGGTACATCAGCTGTTTCCAAGGCTCCACGAACCACACACCAAACTACGCCTTCCCTGGCTTCGTCAACAACGCACTCAACAAGCCCGGTGTCTATCAACGCAACAAGTCCTACCGTCCGCAGCAGCGTCTGCGACCTTCGTATGTATGGAGTTTATCAAGCGCAGATAATGCAAAGTATGTTCGTTGTTTAACGCCGCACACAGCAAGGCAAGATTCCAGCTATATGACGGTGGTCTGTAAATAATCAAGTCTGAAACAGACAAGCCGGTGATTGATATCATGAGCATCGATCCACGCAATTGGGATACGGTGACATGCATCAACCAAGTCAGAGAGCCTGACCACGCGATCCCGTTAGTCGACTCTTACGACAAGCATAGTCGCCTTTTACGGCAAGGATGGAGTGCTAAAGACCTTTTCTACACTGGTTCTTCACGGGTCTAATGCAATGCAATCCTGTGGCCAGGAGTTTTATTTGTTGTGCCATTTGCGGAACTGACTGACTTATTGTATGATTTGAACCTGACAATGTGCAACAGGCGTATAGCACTGATGATGGTATAGCGTGAGAAGTTATACGAACTTAATATGATTTTTTTATCGTAACCGGTCCGATCACATTCAGGTATTCATGATATATAAACAAAACAAAAAGGTTAGGGATCATGAATATTTTTGGGGATAGTTTTTGTCGTGAAGACTGAGCACACAATTTCATAAAAAAATATACCAATATATTCATGATCCCTAACGTTTTTTGTTCAGTATACCTCTAACAATGCGTTATGCAATGTTTTAGTTTAGTCTACTTTAAGTCCAAATTTCCGGCAAGGAGTGAGTGAGTGAGTATGGTTTTACGCCGCTTTTAGCAATATTCCAGCAATATCACGGTGGGGGACACCAGAAATGGGCTTCACACATTGTACCCATGTCGGGAATCGAACCCGGGTCTTCGGCGTGACGAGCGAACGCTTTAACCACTAGGCTACCCGACCGCCCCTCCGGTAAGGAGGACCGGGTATGACATGGTTCTTGTTGAATGTGAGCAATAACTGCACATGTCCCAAGCGTTGTACGTGTTCTATTTCCAGGTGCGTCCACGGCGCATGCGTGTTATACCTTCAAACTTCTTCACAAAAACATGATCTTCAAGGAGGCCGCCATCTTCGAAGCCAGTGGGAAGACATTAGCAAGCTGCGCGGAGATGTGCACGTCCAATGGTCAGTGCACATGCTTCGTCGTCTACGACAACGGAGACTGTCGCCTGACTACGTGCTTACTGGGGGCCCATCTGTTTGAACCCACCACAGAAATGACGTCAGTGTACAGCATCGTCAAGGTCGACTAGGTGTGCACGACGGCCTTCAAATATCTGTTTGCACTGGGTGGGCTAACAATGCATGGCCACACGTATTGAAGTACCATGAGTGCGTCACTGTGGTGAAGTAAACGAAGTGCTTATAAAATCCTCAAATGCCTACCTTGTCTACGATGTCATTGTCGATTTCCCAGCACAATCACTACGTGTTTCCTGCATCACATTGCCCAGTAATACCGTGTATGGTAGATATTTGTCCAGCATCCACGAATAGAGAGTATTCTGCTCAAAGCATCGTCAACTTCATCAGGCCTCTCCATGAACATATATTTGACCAGAAAAAACATTTTTCACCTTTTTTATGTTTTTGTGCACCGAACTTGTTGATCTCACTCCGATATCCATAATGCCATTGAAAGGCTGACAGTAGTGCTGGAACTATAGTGTTGCACCACTAAATACATAACGCGGCTTATGATTGTTATATTAGAATAGGAAAAAAATTGCAAGCGAATCCGTGGCATATGTTTGGCTTACCAAGCTACTTTTTTGCGTTTGTTTGCATAAACCGAAAAACAATTAGCCCAAGCCCAGTACCAACCTACTGTTTCCTGATTGGCTGATAACAGAATGGGCAGGACTTGTGTTTCATCATCTCACTGTTGGGTGTCACTTTTGTCTACATTTTTGTGTGTGCTTTAATAATAAAATAAGCGAAGTTTGTGAAGTTATTATTGTTGACGTGTTTATTTAGAACGGATTTTAATGTGTATTTCCGTTCATGGAGGTTTAACCCTGGTGCACCCACTTTGCGTTAATCCGCACAGCGAATTTACACAGTTTGCACATTGGGTTTTTCGCCAAAAGACATTGAGGTCATTTCTTAATTGAATGGTCAATGTAAGTATAATACATTGACAAACGTGTCTCTTAATGTCGCCGACAGTTATGGAATATGTATATAGTTATAATCGCAACCACCGTATACTTCGCTAGAAACACCATGCTTCTGACATTCAGGCGAAACTAGACTGTTGGTGATTCGACCAGTTTTGGAGTAGCGGCCTACCACTGCTGACTAATATACATATGTTTGAAAACGAAAATCAGCGTCAATTTCACAATGACCTGGTTTTGTATAAAATCAATTAAGTTTAAATATGTTAAGGTTGTTGACATATGTCCTGCCATCGTGGGAGGCAGACTTTCACAGTCGCCTGTCACATAGAGTTATAATCTACCAAATTAGATTGTATAGCGCAAATGTAAAATGTGAAATATTCCCCTGATCCGGTTTCAAATATAATACACATCTAGCTGCCAACTTGTCATGCAAACAGTTGATATAATATGTGTATATTCTTCACGTCAGCTTGATTATGCACCGCCGCGATGTATTCGAAGCGGACTGTGAATCACCATAGCCATCCACATTCATACTTCAAATGCTCCCACAAACAAATCGACAGGGGAACGTAATTTTTCTGAAGCATTATCGTGAGTGGGTTAAATTTGCAATTGTTCATGATTCGTTTACCATGAATTAACCACCAACACTGTACCCATTAGGTGAAACGAACCAGGCCTTCGAGGCGCATAATTGACGCCCTTACCACAGGGCTACTCAACACTTTCCTTAAGTTTTGTTTGTTTGGTGTTTAACGCCGCACTCCTCAATGAGACTGTAATTTATGACGGCGGTCTGAAAATAAATCGAATCTTGACAAGACAGTGAATACATCATGAGCAGTTGGGATACGGTGACATACATCAACCAGGACAGCGAGCCTGACCACCATATCCCGTTACATATTAGTCGCTTCTTACGACAAGCATGGCAGTCACGGGTTACTAGGCTGTGTGTTTTGCCACACTCGCTTAGGAGATCAACATTTTGGTTTTCAATGTAGAGCTGTGTTGTCTGTAGATATGACGGCGCAAAGTTTAGGTAAGAAACTACGGCGTATAGATGGAGCTCGAGGTTTCAAACGTTGCATTTAGTGCTACTGAATTTTATCTGTCCGTATAAGTATCCTCATTCTACTATAACCAATTTAGACTGACGGTAGTGGGCAGAACAATGTTACACTGGCCAATGAACAGTCAACGAACACAATGAAACCGATCCGAGGGAATTCGAGAATTTCGAAACAGCTTGGATTTCCAAATTTATGGAAGCAAATGACAGACTATTTTTCTGACCCTAAAAATCGCTTTAAGTTGCCAGTATTCCCATTTCTTCATGGCTGTTGAGGTTTCGTAGGTATCAAAAGAATAGACATTTGAAACCTCTGATTAAACAATCGCCAGTTCGCCGATTAGCTGACTGACTACAATTGCTGAAGCTCATACATTTATTCATCTGCCTACTCAATGAATCTTCAGCCCAGCGTTCGTCATCGTCAATACTATTCCACATGACTAACGTTCCGGCGATACAGTAATATTATGATTGTTAATCTGACCTAATGTCCTCATTGTGTCGTGATAGGGTGATGACTAATATTTACCAGAAATATGTCAGTCAGTGGAAATACACAATTTCAATTCAAGCGGGCAGTGTCTACTTCCGCTTGACCGTTTACGTAGAAATGTGACAAGCTTCTATATGTAGTGACTACACACGGAAACCAGAGGTGGGGAACTCACGTAGTGATGTTAGGTTGCGAAAATAGCAGTGACTGTAACTGGCGTTCTGCTGCATCTAAAAGTTTGCCTGACTGCTTCCTAGTGCCTACTTTTGTTTCTCCATAATTTTAATATAGACAACTTCGTGTGGGATTATAAATTATTTCCTATGAAAGATGCGATTACCTGTAATTTGAAAATATGGGAAAGCCTGTAAGGGCGTTGTCATGTCGACCTGGTATGAATGTCAAGCGGAGGCTATTAGCTAAACTAAACTTATTGCAAAAGCGACATCTTTAACACGGATTGGGTGATTATCACTAAATATTTTAACAATAAGATTTACGCTGTCAGTAGAAATGTATCTCAGATCTGTCACTGTGTAATGTCGACGAACCTACATTTCTCTATACTTTACAAATAGCTCACAAAGAAACATCCTATTGTACCTTGCAAGCAACTACCCTGCTCTGGAAACCAATCAATATACATGAACACGTACAATTCAACCGACCAATTCAATAATGGTGCATTCACCAACTCCGTTCAATCCCCTTACCGCAATACTTAGTAATACTTGACCGTGATATACAAACCCTGATGGAAGAAGCTGACAAAGCGCTAGTACTGTACTACAGCGGGGCTGAGCGTACCACCCCCTGCGTCAAGTAGGTTTCCGTCCAGTGACCCCCAGGCTCATTGTATATTACGTCCACCATATGGTCGGTGCACAATGCGCAATTTAACAAATCTGTTTTTGTCTAAATTGTCTCGTGGATAAATGTCTAAAGTATCGATGAAACTGTGATGAACTATATGTATGGCATGCTCAACGCACACGAACGCTGACTTTATGTTGGAATAAATATCGCCTAGGACCACAACAACATGTGAGGCGTCTCTAACTTTTGCCTTTATCCATTGCAGACAGACAGCTATTTTATTAGAGTCGTCTCCACACATATAAATACAACACATTTGCAGTGAGGGGATTGAGCCATTCCACATTAAATTACGATAAAATGTATATTCGTTTGAATAAAAGAAAAGTGTACAGCATAAAATAAGCATATCTTATATGCTTAAAATTTCTACAACATTGTACATATTCACACTTTTTTCTTAGGATATTATAAAGCAGGTTCTGGCGGATAAAATACACATTTCAGGAATGGATAAAATAAATCGTATCAGTCTGTTAAGGACATTGGAATAATTATGTTCTAACATTCTCTTCCAGTTTAAAGATTTAGGGCTGCCGAATCACATCTAAAACAACTAATGCCCTCCTATGGGGACGAGACACTTTACAGTCGCATAGTGCTCTACACGAAATACACCTGTGAAGATCCGGGTTAGAATAGGTCTCAGCAACCCATGCTTGTCGTAAGAGGCAACTAACGGGATCGGGTGGTCTGACTCGCTGTCTTTGTTGAGGCATGTCATCGTACTCAAATTGCGATGCTCATGATGTCATTCTGTTGATTGTCTGTTCCAGACTCGATTATTTACAGACCGCTGCCATATAGCTAGAATATTGTTGAGTGCTGCGTTAAAAAAACAAAAAAAACACCAAACAAACAAATACAAGAAATTGCCAAAAAGTTGCGTAAACTCGCAGTTCGTTGCGCGCTGTGCTCGTGTTACTCTGTGGCACTGGTTGATTCCATTGGGTTTGGCATCTAACGAGTACTTATGTTTTACCCCTGATACAACAAAGATACATTATAGTTTTCAACAATTCTGAATTACCCAAGGCCGTGATCGTAAAGCTTAGCACTTGTCTTTAATTCCAAGTTCGTTACTTTGCTACAGATAATTATTGCTACAAATGCGCATTCTACTCGCTAACCGATCAGGGTCTGGATTACATAAATGCCTATACAATCGTGATAAACTCCCTCTTGTCCAACAACGGTAGGGTCCCATATCACCAATCACCGCATTGTTAGGTGCGAACTTTCTCAAACAAAGGCGAATATGCACCACAGCCAAGGAGGGGAGATTGTTATATTGTCCTTATCTGATGAGCACGGAAACCATGAGCAGGGAATGCCACTCTTGTTTCTTAAAGTCGACACACTCCAATGCAATTGACGATTAATATCAATTCTTTATATCCGAAATATTAATTACAAACATTAGCCCAAACGACGACGGCCACTGGTCGTTCGGCATGGTTACGTTGATTCGTGTGTCCTGGTAGCGGCTACAAGCCTGAAGCTATTTTGTGTAGAATAGATATACGTGTATGTATACCCCTATATACTCCACCGTGTTATGTCCCCACCCCTCCTCGAATAAACAAAGGCAAAAAGGATGTGTTGTATCATGCAAAGGTGTTTTTTTAAGTGGTCATACGGCCACATACAGTCATGGAGAAACTTGCGCAGCCACGAGCCATGAAATTGCAGCCATGTGCCAGTGTATGACAAGTATGGACAAGTGGCATTGCAGTGCGGAGCTTTATGAGATCTATAGCGGATGTATAAACGGAGACCTCTCGTTTAGGATTAATTCTTACAAATTAGGCTGCAAACTATCTTAAATGTGTGCATGTTGGTTTTGTTGCTTTCATGTGTGTATGCACAATATATACTAAAATACCTACGTATGACGTTGGATAGAATGAACAGAAGGTAAAGTACATATAACAGTTGTTTAGTCAGTTGTTGGGTAAATAGCATTACCGTACTAAATACGTACTTAAGCGTTCGGCTGTACAGTCAAGTTAATGGCCATCTCCTGATATCCTGTGTAGCTTCGCTGGTGTAATTGAGATAAGTGTCCTCATAACTGATGACCTCTAATTGCTTTGCCTGTACAGTCGCGACTTAAGGGATTACATCTTGTTTCCGCGAAGTGAATTAATGATGTGAGGCCATTGTGGCATATGTGACTGTACAGAATGGTTCAATATCTGGCTCACATCGTCAGAGTGAGGGATCACGGCATCCGCATCCTAGTCAAACCAGCATCTACACAACCACCGCACAAATGACAAACTGTATATGGGAGGGCCTTCCAAGACTGACTCACTGCCGCCAGTTCCGTGTATGTAGTAATAATTCAGCAGTGTGCTTTCGGCTGTTGGGGTGTTGTC